AAAAAAAAAAAAAAAATGTAATATTTTCTTGATAAAAAAAAATACAAAATTTTGAAAAAAAGTGTAAATTTCTTTTGGAAAATCAGAATCTAAGGAAACAGAAAATTTAGTTGAAGTTTCATTTCAATTAACAAAACCTGTTCTTTGCAAGAATAAAGGAGCAGAAGCAGATTGTTTGTCGGAGCGATCATCTAATAATCTGAGGGTCGCAGTCAGGAAGAGCTGCAGAAAACCGCAGGTTCAGTCCAGATGCACCCATCTGATAGCGATGCCATTCAAATGTTAAATAAATGAACCATGTATCCTATATGTGAGTTACATTTACAAAGTAACACAGATATAAATGTACTTTATTCTATTAAAAAATAAGCAGAACAAAGAGAGAAACATCAGCTCCATGTAAAGAGCTCTGGATTGGATCTCTGCATCAGAGTTTTTATTCTTTATTTCAATTCATTCATTCTTTTCACAGGGTAGAAAGAAAGGCCCCATTTATACTGCCGTCTGAGAACCAATCCTTGCCGAGCTTGGATCAGTTAACCGTGCCAAGTTCGGTTCCTAACGATCATTCACACACCACGCTAGCGCGGTTCCTCGCCTCCTAGTGGCGATCTACAGTACTACTGCTCTCTAGAGGGAAACAAGCAAACCAACATGGCGGCGCCCGTAACATTCAGGAGGTTTGCAGAGAGTCAGGTGAAGAAGGCGTTTTGGAGGCGCTAGCAGAGCTTCTGTTTTACTGGGAGGATGTGTTTTCAGCCCAGCGAACCCTAAAGCAATCAAAGCGATGAACTGCAGAATGGACTGTAACTGATTCTGCAGATGAAGCAGAAAGAACCTGATCTGCTGTCTGATGTTTGGACTGAAAACAGCAGAAACATCTAAGCAGATTTTACTAAAAAAAGTGGATCAAATATAGTGAACAGGTGAGTTTTAAAGGGAAGGAAAAGTGTGGTCATATTCAGAATTTCAACTTCTGAAAGTTCTTTAAATCTGAAATGATTCCATCCTGTTCAATAAATGATCAGTGTTTTTAATTCAGAGTAATTTTCATGTGAATGTGCTTTACTGGAGGCATCCATGTTTGTCAAAGAACACTACTGCCACCTACTGGTTTGTGACGACACGGTGCGGTATCGGCTGTTGATCAAGTCTCAGTG